TCTTTTCATCAAACAATGTTCATAGTTTGAGTCATCATCCTCATGAACTCTTCCATATTAACCAATCCATCTCCATCTGCATCAATAGCTTTCACCATCCTCTTGCAGTCTTCTAAGCCACACCTCTCCCCAAGCTTCCTCAGCACCGACATCACTTCCTCTGCGCTTATCTTCCCATCGCCATTCAAATCAAAAGTCCAGAAAGCGTTTCGTATATCCAAAGACTTAAGCCCTCCACTTTTCTTGTGTGCTTCCATAAACTCCCTGAAGTCAATAAACCCATCACCATCCAGATCCACGGCCTTAAAGATTTTGGGGACGTCCTCGATCGCCTTTTCTTGTCCTAGAGCTCGCAGCACCACCTTATACTCTGTCTGAGAGATTTTCCCGTCTTTGTCTGAGTCAAATCTGTTGAAAACACGTCTCATCTCGTTGATTGTAGGCTGAGAGACGCCTCCTGATCCGGGCGAAGACAGGCCTGAAGATTGTCTGTCTCTAGAGAACATCCTTGAAGGCGTCTTCAGCATCTTGTTCTTAGAGAGCTTGTACTGCAACTCAAGAAAGCTCACGTTTGACATGTCTAATTTGATCACCAATCTTTTGTTGGGAGGGGAGTGTAAGAAGCCCCTTGATCTCATAGTTTATATACTGCAAAACCTTAAGAGAAAAGAATATGATTCCTTTTAGGTAAACCATGTTGAAAAGAGAGAATCTTGGGGTTGAAGAAACATATGAGTTTATTCCCTGTCAAATTAGGCCTCATGTTGAGCGAGAGAGATTCGGAATTGAAGAGGATAAGATTAACAACGAACAAGTTCTATGGCTAAGCCACAAGGCAAAGAATAAATACTGTAATGTTTTGAGACCGAAAGTTAGAGAAAAAGATCATTCCTTTATGGTAGAGCTATTTCTTCCGAACTTTTGGAATCTGATACCAGAATTGTTTTGTTTTGTTGCTTTACAACTCATCCGCTACTTGTTCTTATGTTAGTTTAACGGTACTTGGTCCGATTGGTGATCTAAAGCTGTTAAGTGGATCTTTGATTCTTACATATGTAGTCGTAGGTTTGAGTCGTACTCTGTACATCTTTTTCAGATTTTGATCATTCCTAATTGAAAAGAATTACCAATAACTTGTAACTACCCTCTGTTACTTTCTGCTGTTATGATCATTGGTTGTAGATGATTATCTTTTTTTTTTTTGTATGTGAGACTTAAACTATTTGACCAAGCCAATAA